ATAATTACAAATTTTATATAATGGAAAATGGATCTTAACTTAATTTTATATAAGGGTATTCCATTTTCGACTTATACCAGCGATGATAACACTCCCCCGACTCCTCCTCGCCACAATGCCCGTTTATTGCCGTTGTTTTGCACTGTGTTAACATGATCTTTTATTACTTCTACTGCTCGACAGTGCTTCGGTTGGTTTTCCTTGGTTTGCTGGGTCTGGATCTTGCGGTTTGCTTTTGCCGGCTGGAAGTTGAGTTTATTTACCGCTAATAATGGTCATTTGAGTTGATATTCCGATGATGTCGTGGCTGTGATAAGACGACTTCAGCTTCCAAAGGAGCAGAAAATATATGAGCAGTGCTAAAAAAAAGAGGGAGAAAAAATCCGAAAAATCAAAGGTATATGGGAAACAAGGCTTGATTCAATTTGGTTGGAAATTTGTAAAACGCGATTTTTGAATTTGTTTGGCAAATTTGCGGCTTAATTGACAAAACACACGGCGAGACATGCGACTGACCAACAAACCAATGAGACCAGCGGCGTTTTGGTGTAGTCGACTGGTCAAAAATAAAAACACCGCCGCCAAGGAGAACAAAACTCCAGGCCGTGGATAACTAATAAAATCATATATGCAACAAATAGCGGCAGACAAGCTGCAGACCCCAATGAGTCATTCTCAAAGACTACAGAAAATCCGAACGAAAAAAATGGGTATATGTGTAATGAAAAAGCGAACTTTGCGCCCCAGACAGCTGTGCAGACTTTTTGGCCAAAGTGGTGCAAAGGGGCGGGGTGTTTGTCTGGTGCTACGGGGCGTGTTGTTAACGTTATTTCACTTTATTTTTCTGTTAACAAACATGCTGAGCTCTTAGCCAAAACAACAGCCAAGTAGAAACAACATGCAAAGTGTGGATGACGTTGAAATGCGGTATAAAAGGTTAAAACTGCATAAAAACTCTTTTAGTTTTCTGCATCGTGGGTCAATGAATCAGCGCTTATATAAATTGTAACATTAGAAACTGATTGGGAAATCAATTTAAACACTTTCAATACACAAAATACATTTAAAACTATTTTTGAAAAGCCAAGTGCAGCTCAAAATTTTTTTTGGTAAGAAATATATTTTCTGTAAATAAAGTGACTGAGTAATAAAGCACTTTACTTTTAATAGGAGTAAATTTATCAAAAATCTAGAAAAGCCCAGGCACATTTTTCCGCAATCTCATTTCGTACTTGCCATTTATAATTTTGATACAATTTCATCTAGCCACCGGCACTCCCTGACCACTCGATTGTATCGGGGCCTATGTAACACATGGAAAATAGCCAAACATTAGGCTAATGCAGAGCCAGCAGAGCATTTTTCACTTAGCCAAGTGTCCCTTATTGTATCTAGGGGTATGTAAAGTGTCCCCCATAGGTAGTAAAAATTGCGCCTATTAATTTATGACATAATAATTCTCAAAGCGCAAACAAAGCCGCTCGTAAAATGCAGCTCGGCCACAGACAATGGTTTGCATTATGAGTGGAGTGCAGGCGAAGGAACCCACATGACCACAAAGTGCACTGGAACTCTCTTTAAAAATATGTAGAATATAGCAAAATTCTTGTATTAGATCTTGAATTTGTATGAAATAAGTCAGATAAATGGTTTATAATAATCCAAAAGCGGGGATATTCTGCAAGATATTATCTACACCTAACTTATATCACATTTCCTATGCTCAATAGCATTTTATATATTTTTCCGAGTGCATTTCTAGCCACCCGAGGGGGAGGCAAAAATCACGGCGACAAAAGTTGAAAGACCCGACAAAAGGAGGGCGCCAGGCAGTTTCCTCGATTTTCCAAGTGTCCAATGCAGCTGTCACAGAGTGCCACTGTGTCGTGTGGCCAAATGAAATCGCGGGTGCCAGTGCGAGTTTCAGAAATGAGCGGGAAATACGTATGGCACTCCATATCGCATTATCTGGCATCATAATTATCCCGCTGGTGTGACTCACGATCTCGCGGGCAGGCAGTCGGCTGTGTCGGCGCAACAATGAAAAATCACTTGCAATTTTGTTTATCAATTTGTGAAAATTATAAAAAATATGCATACGTTGAATATTTTGGCAAAATCATTTGTAAGAGGCCCCCGCTGGATTCGCATTCGCATTCGCCCACGCTTCCCGCTCTCGGCGACGATGTGGCAACGCCACCACCAGCACCACCCGCACCACCAGCACCACTTTTTCTGCACCACCATTCGGCGGTGGTGTGTGGGTTTCGGGCTTGGTGACTCTTGGGCGCCAATATAGCTCTGCCAACTGTTTATGCAACTGTTTGAATAATCTCCAGTTCGCGTCTGGTCCGCAAGGGTTAAACGGTTTCGTTGTCGATCTTGTAAGCCCAAGGTGATTCGGAACCGGCGAGAAACGGATCGGAAATAATTGCTTATAGAGCTGAGCCAGCAAGAGAAAAAAAATCGGAATCAAATAATAATCGGAATAAATAACGAATTTCGATCTGTTGTAAAAATAGCTTCACTTGATTTATATGACCTTTCTGATCATTACAATATGATATTATATTCATTAAAGGGTGTTTTGATATTAACATTATTGATTTTGGTATGAACATTATTAAAAAATTACTTCGATATGTGTTAATATACGTTATAAAATTGTACAAAAATAATATCTGCCTGGAATTTTCTTTTACTGGGAGCTGTATATGGAACTATTTTATTAGACTCTCTACCTTTAAGTAGAGCATTAAAACTTTGTATTCGTGCCCCTGTGATTTTTCCACTTACAAATGCCATTCGATACACTTGACGCCGTTCGCTGAAATTAAATATATAGATAGCCAAACACTTTATATCTGCAAGAAAAATGCGTCGTGAGTCAAGTTTGGGATTTCTTGCTCCTGCAGGAATGATTCGCTGTCCCGGTCGCATCCCCCGCCTCCTGGGGAAGTGGAAAAACCATTCGAGCACAACTTCTTCGGTTTGTTTGGCTGCAGCAGCAAACAAATATTCGTGATTCCTGATAAGCATCACATTTGGCCATCGTCGTCGTCTGCAGCTTTGACTCCTTTATTTTTTTCTTGCCCACCTCAGCTTCTTTCTCCAGCTGCTGAGTGCCAAATGCCGCTAAAATGCGGAAAGCTAATCAAAAACGCGTTGGCCTGAGACGCCGACTGGCGGTCCCGAAAAAATCGAATTCAAACGAAATGTTTCCAAAGCCAAGTTCAATTGCCAAACAAATTCGCGTGAATGAGCCGGGGCCACAAAGCACGGCAACAGCAACTGCGATTTCGGACACTCAGAGGAAATAAGAGGTGGAATTCGTAATAATCATTTCAATTTTATGTTAGCCTAAAGCTTCTAGCATTTTTTAACCTAACCATAGATTCTATGATGTTTATATTAGGGAAAGATTAAAAAGGTATGATAGAAACAGTTGTCATATCATAAGTAGGTATATAATTATAAATATTATTACGCTAGTGGCGAAAATACCTTCGTTCTTTTTTGTTAATAATACATTTTATAAATAACTAAACCAAGATAATAGTATTATTTCAGACTCCCAACCTTTTTTTACATTTTATTAATAGTAGTTATAGAAAAAAGTACATGAGGAGGTAAATGATTATACATTTTTAAATATTATCTAAGAATAACAAACATAAATCAGTTATCTTGAATATAATTTTAACAATTGTTGGGTTAGGATTTATTGACTTTATAAATTCCCTCCCATATTTTTCTTGCAGTGTTCCGGGTTAGCTGCTGGTATTTAGTTGGCAGGCAAATTTGGGAAAACAGTTGGGGGAGGGACGGGCGATCAGGGGCGGCGAGTTGGGGGAAAACATTAACCGTTTTGTTCGCCCGTTGTTGCTGTTGCTGGCGGGAGTGCTCCGTGTGACTTATGTGCGACATTAGCGCGACGTTCTTTGCTTAATTACGTAAAGTTTTTCGGGGCCGCCATACCCGACTTGACTTGACTTAACTCCCTGGATGCTGTTGCTGCCTTGTCGCTGGCTGCCTTTTTGTTGTTCTGTGTAAGACAAGTTCGTGTCCCGAGTCTTTCGTTTTGGCGCTTGTTCTGCACTGCAGTTGCAACAGGTTGTACATACATTGAAATTAAAGAATCTGTTGTGTTCATTTGCGGGCAGATATTTGGGATACATTTTAGCGGTACCTGACAGCGCCCGGCCATATCTCAATTTCCCAAGAATTCTGAAGAACTCCGAAGAATTCCCTCATTTACATCCACCCCGCTGGGTGTGTGTGCTCCACTTTGCCGCAAGCTTACGGATTCTCAGCGAAATCGCCAGAGATCATTAAGGGGCTAATTAGCCCGGCTTTATCAATCATACGCCTAGTGAGCCGCAGCGAATGCAAGGTGCCTTCGAGAGTACATTCAATTGCCAAAAACACCGGCATAGATGCTTTTCTCACGCTCTATTAAAACACCATCAATCAGGTCGAGCAAATGAAAGAAGAAACTGATTTTTTTGGTATTACAAGAGACTGAACTAATTTCAATATTCTACACAGCGGTGGAGTTCAAAGGCATTTTGGGAAAGGCCGACAAGTGCTGCATGTACTTACACGGAAACGTTCGGCAAAAAAGCTAATTAAAATCCATTTAAAAGTTACAAGCTTCAAATTAACAGAAGACTTAATTCTCTACATTATTGCCAATGTCTCCGGGCGATTGGCGATTTCTCATTGTAAAAATCGTACAACATAATCCAAATGAGGCCATTATTCATGGGCTGGGCCACTTTCCAGCAGTGTTGTCAGTTTTGTAGATTTCTAGCCAGTCTATAAATCTTGAAATAGGATTTCTTTTAAATACATACCATACTATGTAAAGGATATGTTTTTAAGTAAATGTAAAAATATTATAAATTATTATAGCCCATTATCGGAGCACCTAATCATAATAAAAATTGTTTTATTAATTTTTCAATTAATTTTAAATATTTTTAAAAGTTTTCTGATGTTCGGCTCTCAACACTGCCGCCCGGCAGCTGTGAAGTGATTTGAAATGAGCCGGTGCTATGACTTAATAGGCCCAACTTCGGCTCTGAGTCTGGGCCACCCAGTTGAGAGTCGAAAGAGTCGAGAGTCGAGAGACGAGAGTCGCGAGACGGGACTGTGAAGTCAATAAAGGCGCCGTTGGTGGTCAAAATGTTGCAGAGTCGCCTCGCCTGGCCGAGACAAGATCATTAAGGTGGCATATAACATGGCACTAAAAGACACAACAGACACTTGCCGCCATCATCGTGGTCCTCATCATCATCATCATCATCGCATCGCATCGCATTGGGGCGAAAAGCGCGAAAAGTACCTGTTTCGCATTGGGGATCGGATCGGCATAGCCTCCGGGCTAGTTAGTGCAGCTCAGCTCCCAGTTCCCAGTTCGCAGTTCCCAGTTAGATGTTTTCCACCAACTGGCGCTGACACTTTTGATTGAATTCCCAGCAGCGTGTGCGTTGTTCCGACTCCAAATCGACCAACTCGAGTGTACCCAGGTCCAACTGCAACTGCGATTGTAATCAACGCGCCGCGATCAATCAGCAAGTTTCAGTCGATGCTCTAACACTGGACACTGGATACTGGATACTGGATACTGGACACTGGCGCACCGCATCCACTCAAATCAATCCATCAAACGTATCAATCATGATGACAAGCTTGCGTCCAGTAGCTCACAGAGTGCACTGCAATAAATAGTTAGAAATATAGAAAATTTCCTTACATTATAAATGTATTTTAAATGGGTAACATAATATTTTTAAATATTTTATTGTAATAACTAATACTTAATACTTAATTCTTAAAAGTCTTCATTAAAATTAAAATAAGAAATATTCTCAAATAATTTGTACATCACAAATTTTGATTATAAAAAAAATATATTGCTCATACAAACCCATGGTTTTTAAAAATTTGTTTTTGAACATTTTAAGAAATTAAAGCCTTTTCAGTGCGAAATTTCTCGAGCCTGCCTGGGAAGACACCTTTGCTCGTGACGCTCCATGCTCTGCAGCCTCTTCGCCCATTAAATTTGAATAATCTTAGTTTTTTCTGCTTGCCCACAACTGTCGTCGCTTGCGTGCCCAGGATGGGACCATCAGATGATGAAGATGATGCCGAGGATAGAGGATGGAGGATCGGAGATGGAGGATCCAAGACGGGGAGGCTGTGCTCCACTAAACGCCACTTGGCCACTGGGCGGGCTGAGTGTCCCGGCTGACTGACGGACTGATGGAGCCACAACCGAAGCCAGCGATCCACAACTCCCCGGGCCATCGTCTGATTTGAAATTCTAAAGTGATTTTGATTACTTGAGGTGTTGATGTTTTGACGTTGTACGTTGATTAGATACTCGTAGCTGGAGAGCTTGTTAGATGTATGTCAGATGCAGAGATCCGGTCCTGGTCATGGTCCATGGGTCCTCGTCTTTGGGCCGCCACGGGGTTGATTATAATTTAATTATAAGCAATCTGTAACGAGTTAATGGGGGCAAACTGCACTCATTTTTGCAGGCAGGTGTGAAATGGCTTTATTAGCTTTAACTGCCGCTGATGGCGGGCAGGGGCCTAATAATAGTAATAGCTCTTGATGTCTGCCTGCTGGGCGAAGTCTTATTCCAAGATCTCTGCTGGAATCGGTGGCACTTAGCTGAAACTGCCTTTTTGTGGAAGGTTTCAAAGATCGTGGCAAATTATTTTCTAACAAGAATTAAAGGTAAATATATTTAAAAATTATTTTATAAATGCTTTTTATTCGTACTATAATATTACACGAAATTCTTAAGCTTTTACTTGATCGGTATTTAAATCTCTAGACATCTGTCTATACTTCATTAGTCTTTTCAAAAGTTACATTTTGTGCTACTTACTTAGTTACTAATAATTAGAAAAGACACTTCCACCATTAATTCCCTATTTAGACAAAGTTATTTAGACAGGTCTGCACTCCTCATTTTAGGTGGTCTCTTAACTGCCTTACTTCTTACAGATTGATCCATTAGCCCTTTCATTAGTCAAAGTTTATGCTCTTTTACACGGTGATTTATGAGTTGAACTTCAAGATCTAAAAGCGGCCGCCATCAACTTGTCTTTCACACCCCAGAAACAATTCAATCGGAGCAGTTATCATCGGCTTGGATAAGTGAAGACCACCGAGTTTGAGGAGATTCTTAAGTTTTCGACGTAGTTTCCATACGGAAATCATGTCACGGTCACTTGTCAGTCAAGCTCTCAATTCCAGCTCCATATTTGTTTATTTTCGCTTCGCATTCTGATTTATTCTAATGTCTTCGCACTCGAGATTTTTGTTTATCCGGCCGTAAAGTTCGTCCCATTTTGGGGATGTGTCAACAGTTTGGCTTTGGCTTTTCGGTTTTTAATTGCGCTGACAAGTCGCATGTGTGGGCCGAACTTCTAAGTACGCCCAGCAATTGTTTATAATACATTTTGTTTTTATTATGCCAAGTGTTTGCGTTTCGTAATTGGAACGTCGAGAAAAAATGTCAAGAGGGTTTTTCGAAATGGGTCCCCCTGCTCAACACTCAAAGCTGCCCACTAAGCATTCTCTTTGTGGTCTCGAAAAATATATTGAAATTTCAATTTCGGTTTCATAGAATTTCCTGAGTAATCGCGCGGGTTCCACCTGTACCTGCATAAAAGTAAAAATAAACGCAGTCGTGAACCTGCCGCTGCGGCCGAAAAGAACCGAGAACAGAGGGCAGGGTCATGGCATAATATTATTACCCAACATTAAACGAAAACGCTCCTAAACAAAGTAGGAGGGGCAGCGAATGGGTAAGGGCAAGGGTAAAATAAAGGCCAAGTGCAGGCGAAGGGCAGGGCGAATCAACGAGATCGGTGCACGTTCGAGACCCGATTCCGATCCCCATTCCCATCCCCATTCCCTGGGACCTCATCCATCCCGAAACCACAACAAAGAGCCACGGCAACAGGTACTTGCCACTCGCCTTCGGGCCAGGCCAAGATGCGAACCAATAATCCACGCACACACCACACACAACACACACTACACACAATGCCATGCGATGCGATGCGGTCGAACCGGCGGAGAAGATTCTGTGGAACGTAGAAGTCTGGGCTGAGAATCAGAAACGACTTCGTGCCCCAGCTTTACACTGAGGAAAATAAAAGCACCAATAAGGAATTCCATTATCTTGTTTCCTATAAATAACATTGAATTTATAAAATATAAATATAAATTTAGGAACTAACAATAAAATATGGTTTATTATTATTTTCAAAATGAAATATTGGAAAAAAATGGTAGATCTTAAGATCGTTTTCTTTATGATATAACATATTCAATATTAACTTATCAAGTGCAATCAAAATACACAAACTTATAAGTGACTCTGATTTAAAATCTGAGCTCTAAAGTAAAAGTTACTTAGAAATAATCACCAAAAAACGGTATATTGTTTAAATATTTCTAAAAATACTGGTGTTCTAAGAATTATGTATTATATGATCTTTAAGCGAATGGTAATCAAAAAACCATCCCAACCATGCTAAAAAGAAAATATAAACCTAGTAACATTCATTTTTAACACTAAACAAGCTTAACACAACCAGTTTTCGAAAAATAAAATGTTATTATCTTACACTTTAATTAATTTCCCTATAATGTTTTCCTTTAGAAACAACAATAATATTTAATTTAAACTTTTTGTAATTTAAATTGGAATTTAACTGCCTTGCTATGATTATAGCTTTACAGCTTTTGTAGATCTACCTTAACACGACTTGTTTCTCTGTGCGCAGACTCCAAGGGCGCATCGGGCAATTCTCGCGAAATGGAATTATAAAAGAATGCCTCCTTGCCTGGGTCGAGGTCTTAGTCTCAGTCCCAGTTCCAGTCTCATTCTCCTCAGCACTCCGAGTGCGATTCTCTGGGCCAGGCGCGTTTTAACGAGTTGAAAAAATCAACCGGACAGGCCAGCGTGTTTGTGTGTAGGAGAGCCCCCGAAAGAAATGAATTTAAAATAAATAAAAGCTGAAAAAGAACAAAAGGGCCCTGGCCAGTGATGAGGGTGAGGGTGCTGTCGACGGCGGTCACTTGGCCGGACCCCAAAGAACCAGACGCTCCTCGGTTCTGTTCTGTTCTGGCCAGCTGAGGAGCAGTCCAGCCACAATGAGCCCGCAAATGAATGCGTAGACTCAAGTGGAAGCCTCTCTATAAAGTGAGAAGCAGAGGAGCATTGCGATGATACGAAAAATGTGGCAAGAGGAACACGTAATACTCTTGTAAATTATAGATTTGATAGGATACAATTTATTAGTACTATTCTTTATTACGAGTTTCCAATGAATTGGAATATTAGTCTCTAAATTAAATGTAGAACTTAGAAAGAGTGATACATCAAAAAAATTAATTTATTTTTAACAGCTCTTAAAAAAATTATAAACTAATTTCTCAGAAACTGGAAATATTCTTCTTAAGTATGAATTCAGCATCTAGAAAATAGGTCTTTATTTTTGAAAGGTTTTAATAAAATGTTTTAAAATTCTAGCTATGCAGAGAATACCTATAATACCCCTCGATAGAGTATCAAACAAAATTAACCGAAATGCGAGCGACCGCAGACCCGCAGCAACAAGTGTACAAGTGGCATCGCCAGTCAGCGGAGGAGGGCGTTCAGGGTCTGGAGCGTCCAGAAGAATTGAAGTACCGAAGAGACCCGGAGACCGGAGAATTGCGATCATTGATCGCGGCAATCGCCAGAACCAAGTGGGAATCGGGGAATGGGGGTCGGTGGTCGGGGCCCAGAGTGGAGGTGCTGGACTGAAGACGACGGTGAGAAGGCGATCCGATCGATGGATGAGACTTGGGATGAGGTCGGGGATGAGGCTTTATGGTGGCAATTGTACTTGGCCGGCGATGATCATCAGCGGATGGCGGCTCAATTGTTGTTGCCCGCGATGGTTTTTCTCTTCTTGTTGTTTCTGCCCGTACATTTATGCAATTCATTGTTTCCAGTGCGAGCGAGCGAGGAAGTGCGATGATCATCTTCAACACCTTCGACAGGTTACAAAACAAAAGTGGCAACATTATTGAACATCTCTACTCACACTCGAAGAAAATATGTGCGAATGTTCACTGCTATATTAAACAGTGTTTATTTAAAATCGAAACATTTTAAAATCGGACTGTTATCTATTGGTGACAGGAAGGATGGCATTATACCAAAATGTATAAGAAAATTCATGTGTTTCTTCAATGAGTATTTTAATGGTGTAATATTCTCCCCAGTGCAATGCCACATCCTCCGGCACATCCCCACCTTATCGGTCAAGAAGAGATATATGCGTACGTGGTTCGGGCTTTCGGCTGCAGATTACGTACACCAGCTTCCCATCTACTGAGCTCCTCTAAGTCGGTAGTTAGTGCTTGATGTATGTAATTCGTGTTGCGCCCGCATCGCAGCTACCTGCGGATAAGTCTTTGACTCCGAAATGCAACTTGGCTGGGGAATATTTCATAAAGCGATGCGGCAATCTTTATGGGTTCATCGGAAAGGTGATCATCGCCGGAGTCGGAGACGGATAGAAATGCAACCTGTTGGCTAACTTGAGAATGCCTCAAATTGCTGGGCACTTTGCTATTTAAAGTATTAGTAGAGCTGTTAAAGATATACATACCTATGTTTAGGGCTTGGAAGACCTTTCCTAAAAATTACCCTTTCTGATCAACTATTCTGAAGATATTCTATCAAAAGTAATGATGATTAGAGCTAGTTCACTCTTTTCTTTTGAATTTTATGTGAGTATAAATTTGTATTCGCGATCTAGATCCGAAAAAAGAATGCTATCAACTATCAACTATCTTGAAAATATAAAAATTATCATTTCATCTGGTGATTCTTTCGATCAGCCGTCAAGATAGTTAGGATAAGTAATTCAGGATGTTTATCACCCCGAAAGCTACTTCCTCTTGAAGTTTACTTCCTAAATCCCCTGGCTATCTCTAGAAAGCATCTCTTTCCTTTCATTAGCAACGTCTGAATGTTTTGCCTTGACTCTAAAGCTTCGAAGTTCTCCTGCAACCTTGCCAACAGGAATTGCCAACCTGCTCGGATGCATAAGGAAGAAATTAAGGTTTTTTCTTTCCTCTTCGGGGGAATTTTAATGATAATTTCCTCTTCACGAATTTATGGCATTTTAATTAAAACTGCCCAAAGAGCCCGGCCTGCAGAGGCTGAAATCGTTTCGTGGCCGTTTCAAAATACAAGTTTTAGGCACGTAAATTCGCCGGGTTTAAAGGCCGCCCGATGGTGTGGCTTCCTGTTGTGCA